GAGAGAGAGAGAGAGTCCAGCTGAGATCAGAAGATTGACAAACATACAGAAAGAAATAGAAATATAAGAAAATAAATAGTAACTTCCAGATTTTATGAGACGATCCAGATGATGTGTACAAGTTGTCATTTTTCCTTCTTTGTTTGGTTTTTGCTTTTGTTTTGATGTTTTTTCCATTCGTTTATCAATGTTGCCTCTTTGGCATTCCTAACGTTCCATCATTACCTGTTGCCAGTACATTCTGAGTTCTGTAATATCAAAATCAAAAGCGCCCCCCTCTCTCTATATGTTTTTAACCTGTCTCTCACTCCCGCCCTCAGACAAACCCGGAGCCCCCGAAAATCTCAAGGCCACCGAGGTCAAGTCAAGCTCTGCCTCCCTGCAATGGAAGCCGCCGGTAGACAACGGAGGTCTGCCCATCACATCCTACCTTGTGGAGCGTAGGGACAAGCGATGGGGATCATGGGTCAAGGCCGGAACCACCAAGGGCGGGGTCACGACCCTGGATGTAGGTCAACTTCTCGAGGGTGCTGAATACTTTTTCCGCGTTAGCGCGCAGAATGAGGAGGGTTACGGCCCCTGCGTCGAGATGACTGAAGCCGTGGTGCCCGAGAGAGAGCCAGGTAAGGAGGAAGGATTTATTCTACTGAGTCGTCGTTTATGATGCTACTGGCGATATAAAGAGGGGAAAGGATTCATTCTACTGAGTCGTCTTTTATGATGCTACTGGCGATAGAAAGAGGGGAAAGGATTTATTCTACTGAGTCGTCGTTTATGATGCTACTGGCGATAGAGAGAATTAGGTAGGGGGAAGGGCTTATTGAACTGAGCCTTCGTTTATTTTGCTCTAAATAGCCTCAGAAAAAGCATCAAATTGACCAGCTGAACAATGCGTACACAAACAATCGCCTCCTAAATAATCAAAAGTATGATGATGTCATAAAACACATACATTATTATTTGTTTCGTTTGATTAAAACATTTTTTTGTCCTGTCCACAGTTGCCCCTGAGCGACCTGTTGGTCCTATCCGGTTCTCCGACCTTGAACCCACAGGCGTGACCTTGGAGTGGCACCCACCCCGGGACGACGGAGGGTCGCCCATCACAGCCTACAAGGTCAGAGATGTACTCACTTCCCATATTCTAAGTGATAGATTATAGTCTCCATGTCTATTGTGTTGAGTTTTTGTTTTAATCAGCTTTAGTCTTCGTTTTAGTAAAAAGAACTTCGGCACGATAAGGTCCATTTGGTGCAGGAACCGACAAAACATTCATTCAGAAACAAGAGGGAAAGAAAAGAAACAGGACCTACAAGTAGCCCCTTCCAACCGCCTTCTCAGGATAATACTTGCGAATTTACTCCTATGCCAATCTTATGAAGCTTAGGCTACTTTAGAGAACATATTTAAATTGATCAATGTTTAATTTAAAAAATGAATATAACCTACGTTAATAATCAAACACAAAATGAGCACAGAAAGAAAGAGGCATATAAGGCGGTTCATCTATTGTTGCAAGATGGTTACCTGGTGCATAAAATTACGTCGTATTTCAACTGAGTACTCATTCACCCACAGGTTGAGGTCAGCACAAAACGCGACGACTGGGCAGAGGTGACCATCACAGATGCTGACGTCACCAAACAGAGGGTGAAGAACCTGAAAGAAGGTCAGAAGGTCTGGTTCCGGGTCACTGCCTTCAACAAGGTGGGCAGTAGCAAACCTCTCGAGTCGGACTCTGTGCTGCCGGAGAGGAAGAAAGGTGAGAAGACGGAGGTTTTAAGTGTGCTTTTTGGTCGTAGTGGTTTTGCGCTCGCAACTGCTTAAGGTCATATGAGCGACATTTGTGGTGGTGAAAACTGCAGCAGCGGTGGAAAAACAATACAGCCTTCCCGACCAGAAAATCAACAAATAAATAGATCAAACAACCAGTCACTTATAAAAATGGATGAATATGTAAATGAATAAATATATGAATGAATAAAAGAACAAATGAATTAATGAATTAATGAATGAATGTATGTATGAATGAATGAATGAAAAAATAAATGAATGAATGAATGAATGAATGTATGAATGAATGAATAAATGAATGGATGATTGAATGAATGTGTGAATGAATCAATATATTAATCAATGAATGAATATCCAATTCTCCCTGCTTTTGTTCCTCTTATGTATAGCAAGAATTACACATATTCAAACCGTTGTCTGTCTGTGCCCCCCCCCCTCCTCCCCCCCCCTCCCCACAGGACCCCCTGGACCCCCCAAACGCCCTCTGTCGGCCAAGACGTTGTCACGTGACTCCGTGGCCCTGGAGTGGGGCGCGCCGGAAGACGACGGAGGCTCCCCCATCACCGGTTACGTCATCGAGAAGCGCGAGGCCATGCGCATGTCCTGGTCACGTGCCGAGAAGACCTTGACCGACGCCACCAAGGTCGACGTGAGGAACCTGTCTGAGGGCAGCGAGTTCTACTTCCGGGTAGCGGCTGTCAACAAACAGGGCACCAGCGACTTCCTGGAAATGGAGAAACCCATCAAGGTCAAGTCTCCCTTTGGTGAGTGTTCATTTTGTACAACTGTGCCGGTCTGTTTGGTGAGTGTTCTCTTTGTACGACTCTACTGGCCTGTTTGGTGAGTGTTCACTTTGTACAAAATCTACTGGTCTGTGAGGTGAGTGTTCATTTTGTACGACTGAGCTGGTGTGTGAGGTGAGTGGTCACTTTGTACGACTGAGCTGGTCTGTGAGGTGAGTGGTCACTTTGTACGTCTGTGTTGGTCTGTTTGGTGAGTGTTCACTGTGTACGTCTGTGCCGGTCTGTTTGGTGAGTGTTCACTGTGTACGTCTGTGTCGGTCTGTTAGAGTTTCAGAGAAGCGCTCGAACAAAGCAGTGGCTGGTAGTTCAGCTTTGAGGGCAATAACAGCTGTCTAGTTGTAACAGAAAAGCAACAACAACAAAATGGCCTCAGCTAATAAATCCACAGTACATTTTCAGCTGCAATAAACCCCCTTAAAATCAAACAAACATCCGTGTAGTCTCTATTCTCAGAAATACTTGTACTTTTATTTTCCTTCCTTGGTTTTCATCCTATTTTTGTTACATTTCTTGGTTGTTGTTTTTGCTTCCCTTATGAATATGAAATATAAGACACAATGTAAGTGTGTCTGGTGTGATGTTTTACTCGTGTCGTTAAAGAAAAAAGAAATTAATCTAAACTTCCACTAACCCGATTCTCCCCCCTCCCCCCACCCTGCAGACGTGCCATCACCCCCCGAGGGCCCTCTCAGATTCACCTCAGTGACACAAGACTCGTGTGAGCTCGAGTGGCTCCCCTCCAAACACGACGGGGGCTCCCCCATCCTCAACTACGCCGTGGAGATCCGCGAGTCGCGCCGCACCATGTGGGGGCGTGCCGGAACTTCCCTTGCTGACGTCACCAAGTTCACTGCTCGGAACCTCGTGATCAACAACGAGTACTCCTTCCGGGTCCGAGCCGTGAACGCCGAGGGCGAGAGTCAGCCCCTTGAGGGAACTGAGTCCGTCAGCCCGAGGCTCAAGCAAGGTGGGTCACCTAATAGTGTTGAAAAACACTGTAGTTATTGATACTCAGATAGGCTGGGACAGAGGTGGGTTCTCTAGTTTAGTTTTAGTAGAGGTTTCACGGCGTTCACAACTGCATAAGGTCATATGAGCGCCAGAAGATTAGAGGTGTTACAAGAGAGGAACAAACATAAAAAAGAAGAACGGGAGATAAGGACGATAGATGTTTGATAGGAAAGAAGAAGCAAACCACACCAGAGCACCCGCCAACCACCCACGTGGGTTCTCTATCAGTGTTGAAACACACGGTGGTTGGTGATACTGAGAGAGAGGCTGTGACAGAGGTGGATTCTCTAACAGTGTTGTTACATCGTGATTGGTGATACTGAGAGAGAGGCTGGGACAGAGATGGATTCTCTAACAGTGTTGGTACACCGTGATTGGTGGTACTGAGACAGGCTATGGCAGACTAAAAGTGCGGTAGTTACTTTTGGTTGTCTGTTTGTAAGAATTGTTTTATGAATGAAATACTTTAAAATGTGTCAGCGTCTGGACAATAAAGATATATCTTATCGTATTATTTTGTCTTATATTTCACCTTATCTAAATCTCATCCCATTTCATCTCATCCTGTCTTTTCTTATCTTATTGTATCTTATCTTCCCTCGTCTCATCTTATCTTATCTTATCTTATCTTATCTTATCTTATCTTATCTTATCTTATCTTATCTTTATCTTTATCTTATCTCCCCAAGACCCACCCGGCCGCCCGTCTGCTCTGAGCGTCCCTAAGGCCACCAGTGAGGCGGTCACCTTAGAGTGGAAGCCACCCACCAACGACGGGGGCGCCAGGGTCAAGAAATATATTGTACAGGTGAGTGAAGGGAGGGGAGGAGTATTCTTGTTGTACAGGTAAGGGGAGGGGAGGTGCCCAGGTCAAGAAATACATTGTACAGGTGAGGGGAGGGGAGGAGTGTTCTTGTTGTACAGGTGAGGGGAGGGGAGGAGTGTTCTTGTTGTACAGGTAAGGGGCTTGCTGGTGACATGATCTGCATCTCTTTGGAGGCGAGTTGTTTTAATCCTGCCTGTCAAAGCTAAACTTGCACAAACATGCACATAATATGCACACACACACACACACACACACACACACACACACACACACACACACACACACACACACATACATACACACACACTCACACACACTCATACAAACACATACACACACACACAAGCACACATACATACAACTTATGCCGCACATTACTTTATATATGAACTCAGAAAACCAATATAGACCAATCCTCTCTCCAACACCCCCCCCCCCCCACCATGAACAGATGAAGGAAGACACGCCGACAGCTGATTGGTCAGACTTGACCAGCACTGACGGCTTCCAGACCAAGGTCACGGTACCCGACCTTGACCCCAATAAGAAATACAAGTTCCAGGTGGCTGCTGAGAATGACGTCGGCCGAGGAGACTTCCTGGAGACTGACCGATCCGTGACCCCTGTCAAGGCCATCAGTGAGTGGACATTTGGCCGCCATTTTTGGTTACTGATATATTATTATGATGTGTACAGATCTTGGGGTGAGGTTCGGGTGGTGAATTATCTAACCTCACTGAGAGGAATGCGG